GTGTTCATCCAGCTCTACACCTTGTTATCTCCGATTCTCAGCATCGGCAGTTCCTACTATTTCTTAGAAATTTGAGGGTGGTTGTGTTTGGATTGGATCATAATTCAGGTTGAACATGTTCACGAAAGTTCCTGCAGCAGGCTGTATGTGGAAGTGGGGAGATTGGAGATGTAGAAGCTGCAGAAGAGAATTTTAAAAATGGACAGAGGAAAACTGAACGGGCTGAGGTTCTTCAGAGAAAAGAGAGGATTGAATGGTGATGTTGATAGAAGCCTGGACGCTTATGAAGGGAATTGAGAAGATTATTTGACTAGTAAAGCACTTGGCTGTTAATGCACAATAATCCCTAATGAATTGCATCCTGGAATGCAGGAGTAACTCGTTATTGAGGGAATGGTTAGAATGAGGGACTTCGGAATCCCTCAAATGGAGTATCAGTGAATCGCAAAACTGCTTTAAGGGGAAACGAAAAGGGAGAAAGAAATAGAAGGATATGCTGATAGAGTCAGAGGAGAGACGTTGGAGTGTAAACACTGACATAGACTACTTGGAGCCAAAATCTATGCAGTTTTGTGAAAATTGGTGTGATATTAAATGTATTGGACATCAGATCTAACATGAGCAAGTTTTGGAGACCTGTCAATTTGTCCATATCCTTATCAAAGTATTTCCCAGTCAAATCATCCAGGCTTCAGAGTTCATGTGTGCTGATCTCAGGATATACAGCCACCAGAAGGGTTGCAATGAGTCTGAATGTTTGTTAAAGAGAGAGAAAGGTAGCCGTGGTTACCGTTCCTGATGGTTCCCTGGTGGGAATTGCATGTGTCTGGACTTTGTTTCTTAATCCCCCTCTACCTGTCTCCTCCTCTTCAAACCTCTTCCATGGCCCTTTTGTGGCATAGAGGTAGTGTCCATACCCCTGATCCAGAAGGCCTGGGTTCAAGTCCCACCTGCTCCAGAGGTGTGTACTAACATTTGTGAACAGGTTGGTTAGAAAACTAGGTTAAATTTAAGAAAAACACCACCCCCTTCCAAATCTTAGGTCACATGTCCTGTTATTAGGTATTGGTTGGCCACTCTCCAGAGAAACATTTTAGTTTTAAACGTGCTAGATCAAAATGAAATGACTGCATTCATACAGAAAATTGGCAGTGGAATAGGCCATTCAGCCAATCAATTCTAACATTTAACGTGGTTATGGCTGATCCTGTATCTCAACACCATATTCCTGCTTGCTTCTCATACCCCCGACACCTTTAGCCTCTAGAAATGTGTCTGTTTCTGTCTTAAATAATTCTGTGATTTCTGACCATAGCTTTCGATGTTAGAGAACACCAGAGGTTCACCACTTTGAATGAAGACATTTCTTATCTCAGTCTGAAATGACCTACCCGTATCCTAAGATGGTGACCCATTGTCCTAGACACTGGGCCTCTTTGACAATTTCCCAATCTATCACCATTTAAATGATACTCTGCCATTCTGTTCTTCCTGCTGAAGTGGAAAATTAATACTGGAGCTGCCATATATTTGCTCACTCACTCAATTTGACTGAATCATCCCGAAGCCTCTTCACATCTTCCTCGCCACCATCACTCCCACCCAGTTTTATTTCATCAGCAAACCTGGAAATATTCCATTTGACTCCTTCACTCAGATTGTTGCTATATATTGTGAATAGCTGAAGCCAATGCACTACTCCCTATGTTACCCTCTTCAAACTGCTTTCCACTCTGAAAATGACTCAATAGTTCCTACTCCATTTTCTGTCTTCCAACCAGCTCTCAGTCCATGCCATTATATTACCACCAATCCCAAGAGCTTTGATTTTGCACACTAAGATCTTAAGCGGGGCTAGATCAACAGGTTTCTGAAAATTCAAGTACACCACGTCCACTGGTTCTCCCTCATCTATTCTACTGGTTACATCCTCCAAAAAGCTGCAGTGTGTTTGTCAAAAACAGTGTCCCTTCCATAAATCCATGAAAGGCTGGGACCCTAGAACAGAGAAGATAGGGCAGTCTCACTGGGTGCCTTTAGAGTTCAGAAAGTGTTTTCTTCTTTTATGCATTCATGGGATGAGGGCTTTGTACAATCCTGTGCCCTGTTAGCACATCCTTTACAAAAGGGCTGCAGCATTTGTACTTCCTGGTTTTCTTCCTGATGTTACAAAAGGGCCAGTGGAAAACTTTTGAAGTGTAGTTGCTGTTGCAATGTGGGAATCACAAAAAAATCAAATAGCACACAGCAAGCTACCACAAATAATGGCCTGATAATCTGTTTTTATTGCCCTGATTGAGGGATAACTATCTTCCAGGATAACAGTGAAAACTCCCTTGCTGTTCTTCAAATTAGTACCTTCAGATCTTGTATGACAGTTGCCCTGACAGTGCTGCCCTCTCTCCATTCTGCATTGCACTGTCAGCCTGAGCTATTGTGGACATTCTCCACAGTGCACTCACCAACTGAGCCACTGATTTGCACAAGTTTGAAACAAAGCAATAGAAACAAAAATATCTTTCATTTAAATCTTAAAAGATTGCTGTCCCTCCTGCATGGCCATGATCTTAAATTTATTGTTCATCTTAACTCAAGGCTGACACTCCCAGTGTCATGCTGAGGGAGTACTGCACTTTGAGGTGCTATCTCTTTAAGGAGACATTAAATTGAGGATGCACTGCAAAGGAATCCTGCGGTATTATTTGGAAGGTCAGTGGAGTTTTCCCCCCAATGTCATGGCCAATATTCATGATTCAACAAATGTCATGGAAACAGCTGTTTGTGGGATCTTGCTGTGCACACACTGGCTGCCATGTGTCATACACTACAACAGCAGCTGCACTTCAAAATCATTGAATTAAGTGTAAAGGACTTTTTGAAAACCTGTGGTGTTGCAAGCTGTCATACAAATGCAAATTCTGTCTCTTACTCTGGGAACCAAATGATGACAGTATTATTGATCCAGTTCCAGGGAAGATGTGATGACCCGCAGATGAGCAGCCTCCAACATGAGAGTGGCTGGATGTGACAATGTTGTAGGAGCCTTCCTACTTCTGCAGCTCGAGACCTACATCCGCTCAGGTACTCCACGGGTAACGGACCAATTCTCATTCCTTGTAGTTTCAGAGATTTTGCTTTCTTGACCTCCAATTACTCAGACATTGTGGACAGCCCCTGAGGTAAAATGAGTTATAATTTCCAATACATGTTGGCATCAATGGCCTAGTAGTAAGTACCCCCAGACCAATGTCATGGGTAATGAAAGGCTGGGACTCTAGAACAGAGAAGATTGGGCAGTCTCACTGGGTGCCTTTAGAGTTCAGAAAGTGTTTTCTTTATTCATTCACGGGATGAGGGTGTCACTGGCTAGGCCAGCATTTATTGCCCATTCCTAATTGCCCAGAAAGCAGTTAAGAGTCAACCACATTGCTGTGAGTCTGGAGTCACATGTAGGCCAGACCAGGTAAGGATTGCAGTTTCCTTTCCTAAAGGACATTAGTGAACCAGGTGGGTTTTTCTGACAATTGACAATGGATTCACAGTCATCATTAGACCGTTAATTCCAGATATTTATTGAATTCAAATTCCACCATCTGCCATGGCAGGATTTGAACCCGGGTCCCCAGAACATTATCTCAGTTTCTGGATTAACAGTCCGTCGATAATGCTACAAGGCCCTAGGAAGATGGGGACGATATTCTCACTTGTGGTGGGAGAGCCTAAATCTTTGTGCCATTGATATGAGACAGACCGGAAGAAATCCGACAGGAGATTTAGGAGAAGGGCTTGTGGAGAGTATCTGGAAACCTGAGTGAACAACATTTCAGATAAAACTGGATATTCACAAGGGTGGAAAGGATAGAGGGTACACTGAAGGTGTGAGATGGAGGAGGGTTGGAAGTAGGATTACGTAGGGCTGTAAGACCAGCACAGATCATCGTGGTTGAATGGCCTGTTCCTGAGCTGGATGTTCCACATGGACGATTCAATCTGTCAGCCTGTGCTGAGTTAACAAGATCCAGCAGGGGGCACTGCACTTTGCCTCTGACCGCAAGACTCCATCCACCAGCCCCTCCTGATTGGATAGCATTCTGGGGTGGGACAAGGAAGGTTTGGGTGGGGCGGGGGGTGTGATTTGCTCAGCCAATGAATTGATGTTGAAGTGCAGTTGCTGTTGTAATGTGGGACACATAGCAGCCCATGTGTGCACAGCAAGATCCCCCACAAGCAGCAATATGGTAATGAGCAGCGGGTCAGTTTTTGTGCCGGTGGTTGAGTGGGGATGTGACGGTGGGATTTGTCTGTGCCGCGGTGCTCTGTGTGTCGACTAGCTTGATGGCACGCTCTGACTTCAGGCTTGGAAAATGGTAAGCTTCCTGAGGGGTATCTGAAGCCATGGAATTCCCCAATAAATGTTAAAGGGTTCTGAGGGTGTGACTACTTTTTTAAAACAGCTGCTTGCATTTTGCTTCCAGAAAATGTGGAGCCGTTTCCTCTTCTCAATGGGCGCCCTCGGCCCGTGGTCTCCCTGGAGGAGAACGTTACGAAGGAGTTTACCTGCAGGATGGATGGTTGGAAGTCTGTGCCTGTTGTCACCTGGTACCTGAACGGTAAAAAGCAGATGAGTAACCAGACACTGCTGATCCCCAGCTCCAGCAAGACCATTAATCAGAGTTTCAGCTCCTTCGTGATCACCAGCCATAGGAAGGACAAGGAACTCAACTGCTCAGCGACTGACCCGATCACTGGGAGAACCCAGAATGCCAGTGTCATCCTCAACGTGCAGTGTAAGCACCAGGAATTCATCCCCAACCCCTCCGTGCTCATCACTGAGGCTTCTTAACTGGCGTAAGCCCTAGTGGTACTAAATGGGGAGAAGCTAGAAGGACGTGTGTGAACTAGATGGATTGGTATTTGGTCCTTTCTCTCTGTAAAACATTAATTTTCTTTCCTCTTCCACATCGCTCCACATGGCGCTTCATCATTTAGAAACATCTCTAATCTATCGTGAGTGAAGTTGTGTGAAAGGTCACTGTCCCACCTCAAAACCATATGGTCTGATTACAAAATAAAAACTGAAAGAACTGCGGATGCTGGAAAGCAGAAATTGCTAGACAGGCTCAGTAGGTCTAGCAGCATCCGTGGAGAGAAATCACAATTAATGCTTTGGGTCTAGTGAGCCTTCCTCAGAACTGAGGGTAGCTGCGAAGAAGTTGGTTTATATGCAGAACATAGAGTGGGGAAGGGGGTAAGGAGTAAATGATAGGTTGAGATAGAGCCCGAAGAGAGAGAAGAGCAGTTAGACAGACAAAGGAATGGATAATGAGCCTGGGAGAATGAATAGCTATTAATGGGAACTGTGAGGGTGTGTGTTATAGCAGACCATGTGATAAAAAGGCCTGGTGTGTAGGGGGTCAGATAAGGACATGGGAGAAACTGCCTTAGGCCCTAGAATTGTTCATCTTGATATTGAGTCAAGAAGGCTGTAGAGTCCTCAAGCAGAAATGAGGTGCTGTTCTTCCAGCTTGCACTGACCTTCGCTGGAGCACTGCAGCAAACCTGAGACAGATGTTGGCCAGGGAACAAGGTATGTTGAAATGCCATTGCAATACTTTGTTCAACAAATTAAACATAGGATCTTGTAGTGCAATGGTAGTGTCCCTTCCTCTGAGCCAAAAAACTCACCTGTGTCATAGGTGTGTCATAACACATCTGACACAGGTTTAAAAAATAGTAGAAGCTTGCATGTGTGAAATGGAGACTTTGGAGCTGCATTTAACTTGGTTGTTTTGTATAACTGAATGTGCTGCTGGAGGAGAGCCTGTTATTTTCCAGCTCCTGCCACCGGGATTCTGTCATTGACCAAAAGACTGACTAACTCACTGGGTCGTATGGGGGAGTTATATGAGATGTGACCCCATTTCAATGCTTCAGTCTCCCTTTGGCTAGAAAATAGGTGAAGAGATCTGGCCGATGGTGAAGCTAATGTTGAGCAGGGGTGTGAGTTGAGCAGAGGGTGTGAGAGTTGTGTGAGTGAGCTGAACTATCGCCAGAGTGAGAGAGAATTTAAATCTGCTCCAAAAACAATTTGCCTATTTACAGGCAGCAAATGTTCAAAATCTGAAATTAAAACAGAAAATGCTGTAAATACTCAGCAGGTCAAGTAGCATCTCTATAGTTAGCAACAGAGGGAATGTTTCCCAAAAGCCAAGGTTCTAATGAGGGGTCATTGACCTTAAACATTAGTTCTCTCACTGTCTCTCTCAGCCGTTCCTGTGTTTGCTTCCAAACATTTCACGATCCGCTATTGGTGAGCATGCTGTCAGCTGTTTGAACGCTTAGCTGTAGATTTCTTCCCTAAACCTCTCCATCTCTCTTTTTTTTTCTCTCTCTCCACCCCTCCCCCCGCACCATCTCTCTCTCTCTTGTTTTCTGTCTTTACTTGCTCTCTCTTTTCTTTTAGCTTAGCTCTAGATTCCTTCCCTAAACCACTCCTCCTCTTTATTTTCTCTCTCTACCCCCTCCGTTTTCTCTCTTTACCCCTGTCTTCTTCACTTTTCTCTTTCTATCTCTTTCTCTCCTCTCTATAACCCTGCCTCCTTGTTTCACCTCTTGGAGCTGCATTTTAATGTCTCCTCTTTGACACGGTCTCAGTTTTGTCTGTTAATGCTGCTTGGGAAGTTTCCCTACGTTAAGGGTGCCATATCAATGCAAATATGAATTGCTGCTGTTGTTATGCCACTAAATGGGATTTCTTGGTCCTTTCTGTGTTTGTGCCCCAGTTAAACCTGAAATTGTGCAGATGGATACTGAGTACAGGGAACGCAATGACTCGGGTCTGTTCCTTGCCCTTTTCGTCCTGGTTCAGGCAAACCCTCCAGCCTCCATTACCTGGGTGGACGAGAGTGGGCATGTCGTCGTGAACACCTCCCACTTCATGATCTTGGACACCAAGACATACCCATGGTTAACCAATCACACAGTCCACGTGCAGGTATCCAGCCTGGCTAAAAACTACACCTTCACAGCTGGTAATGAGTTTGGTGCGACCAAATCTTCCTTTTCTTTACCAGGTAATCTGCATGACGAAACTGATGTTGGTTATAAAAACCCGTTTGGAAGTATTCATTTTCCAAAATGAATTGACTCTGTCAGTGATGGTATTAGAGGGATTTGGAGCCGAAGCAGGGAGATGAGTTACTGGTTATCAGCCATGACCTAGTTAAGTGGGGGAGCTGGTTTGAAGGTTTCTTTCATTATTAGGGATGTGGGTATCCCTGGTAAGGCTGCTATTTGTCCCTAATTGCCCTTGAATGGACAACAATGAATGCACTCGAGGGTATTTGAGAGTCAACCACATTGCTGTGGGTCTGGAGTCACATGTAGGCCAAACCAGGTAAGGATGGCACATTTTATTTTCCCTGAAGGAGATTCGTGAACGAGATGAGATTTTCTGACAATCGATGATCATTTCATGGTCGGTATAACTGAGACCAGCTTTACAGTATCCGGTGTTAATAAATTGAGTTTAACTTCCACCCTCTGCCAAGGTTGGATTTGAATGCGTGCCCCCAGGCTGTTTGGTGGGCCTTGGGGTTATTAGTGCAGTGACTGTACCACTATACCGTCATCCCCCAGATGACTGTATGAGAGTTGTCATTTACCCATTTAAACCCTCATCCAGAAGTGTGACTGTACAGTAGAGGTAGATGTTTCCAGCACAGTACTGAGGGAGTGCAGCACTGTCAGAGATGCTATCTTTCAGATTTAATTTTAACTGAGGGCTCCACCTCAGCTGCGGGCATTAACAAAAGTCCTACAGCACGCTGCTAAAGAAAAGGAGCTAAGTTCTCCCTGATAAATATTTATCCTCGCATCAGAAATGCATAAACAATCTGGTCTTTATCACCTGGCTGTGTGAAGATAGGCAGCTATGAAAGTGTGAAAGGCGCTATGTGAATGCAGGTCTCCCTTTCCAGTTTGGGTGGGATTAGTACAAACAGTTGGCCTGTTGATCCTCTCTGCTTTGTTCTCCCAGGTTTCTTCCATTCACGTGTCGAAGTGCCTGTTTTAGTTATTCTTCTTGGAGGAGTTGTCGGGCTCCTCAGTATCCTGCTCATCAATGTTGTTGTTCTGTGTGCTGTATATCGGAGGAGGAAGGGACGAGCAGGTGAGAGACTCGGGACAGTCCTGTGTGTTGGTCAATGACCTCTTGTCATAGAGACATAGGTGGATCAAATGTCAAGTCAACAACGCCACTTGCAGATTTATGGGTAGCTGTTGAGTGCCTTCTCCTTAAGCGTAGCTGATAACGTGACTGACAGAAATTTAACTGAACCAGCCATGTAAATACAATGGCTGCTAGAGGAGGTCAGAGGCTAGGAATAATGTGGTGAATAACTCATCTCCTGACTCTCCAAAGCCTGTCCACAATCTACAAAGCACAAGTCAGGAGTGTGATGGAATAATCCCCACTTGCCTGGATCCGTGCAGCTCCAACATCACTCCAGAAGCTGGGCACCATCCAGGATAAAGCAGTCCACTTGATTGGCACCACATCCAACATCAACTCCCTCCACCACCGACGCACAGTAGCAACAGTGTGTACCAGCTGCAAGACACACTGCAGCGATTCACCGAGCTTTTTTAGAAAGAACTTTCCAAATCCATGACCTCTACCATCTAGAAGGACAAAGGCAGCAAATACATGGGATCACCACTCCCTGCACGTTCCCCTCGAAGCCAGTTGTCATCCTGACTTGGAAATATATCACCATTGCCTCACTGTCGCTGGGGCAAAATGCTGGAACTCGCTCCTTAATGGCACTGCGGGTGTCCTTACACTATATGGACTGCAGTAGATCAAAAAGGCAGCTAGCTATCACCTTCTCCAGGGTAACTAGGGATGGGCAATAAATGCTGACCCGACCAGCAACACCCACATCCTGTGAGCGATGTGAAAAAGCAAAGACCTTCTCAAGGCACCTTGTTGAATGTTCTATTGCTTTGCTGTGGCAAGGTTCCTGTCATACACAGACAAGATTTGCCTGGAGACCAGAATCTGATAGAGTGTCTGTGTGCTCATAGAGTCACAGAACAGGACACCATGGAAAAAGGCCATTTGGACCATCAATATCAACTGTTTCAACTCAGCTGCCCCCACCCCCATGCTCTCTTCCAACTCCCTTCAATTTTTGTCTTCAAGCGTTTATCCAATTTCCTAACACATGTCGTTTAAAAAACTTTTAATAATGTTGCATCTTATTTTAACCAATCACCTTAAATTTCTTCCCCTGGTTACTTACTTAATAGCCATTAGAAACATTTTTTTTGTCCATTATCTAAACACTTTTCCATGTCGATCCTGTTATCAAATCTCCTCTTAGCCCTCCCAGCTTAGGGAGAATGGCCCCAGCTTCTCTTGTCTTTCAGTGTAATGACAATCCCTTGTCCCCGAAACCATCCTGGCAAATCTCTATTGTCTCCGCTCCAAAATCTTCACATCCTTCCTCAAGTCTGATCAAATTGCTGTTGTAACGTCAAACCTTTTGTAACCAATTTGCACAAAGTATAGTCATAAAAATAGTGATCTAGTGATGATCTTGTTGATATTTTTTATTAGTTCATGACGCATGCTGACTGCTCTCCAAGATAAGAGAGCCATTTAAATGTTCACGGAATCCTTCTGAAAGCCTTTGGTGTGTGTTAGGCTGCCAGTTTATGATTCCATGCAGGTATCGCTGGTTAGGTCACCATTCCTTGCCCATCTCTAATCGGGAACCACTGAAACCATTGTAGTCCATGATGTTGTGGGGACAGTCTTGGGAGTTGGTGCAAGGTGGGATGGTCAGGGTGTCAGGGCACTCACCGTGATGTTAGGGAGGGAGTCCCCAGGACTTTCACCCAACGACTGAAGGAACAGCATGATACTCAGACACGAACGTGCAAAACAGCGGGTAAGGGGACCATTCAGCCTCTTGAGCCTTTTCCACCATTCAGAGAGATCATGGTTGATCTGTTTGTGTTTCAAATTCCACATTCCCATCTCCCCTTGATTCCCTTATCCGTAATTATCCCAGCAAACAAGAATCTATTCATCTGTGTTAAAAATATTAAATGACCTCCCCCTCCCCGACCTTGGCTGCCTGAGGAGTCAGAGAGTACCAAAGCCACACAACTCTCTGAGGGGGGAAAAAGATTTCTCACCATCTCTGTCCAAAAAAGGGCGGCCCTTACCTTTAAAAAGTGAACCTTAGTTCTGGACTGACCCACAGGAGGGAGCACCCTTTTCACATCCACCTTGTCAAACCCATTCAAAATCTTATACACTTTAATGAAGTCACCCTTTACTCTTCTGAACTCCAGTGGAAACAAGCCCAGTCTGTCCAAACCTACCTCATAAGACAACCCGCTCATCTTGATGTCAATGTAATAAAACCCTCCCTGAACTGCCTCCAATGTGTTTACATCCTTCCAAGTCCAGATGGCTTATGGCTTGGAGGGGAAGTACAGGTTGGTGTGTTTGTGTATTAACTGCCCTTGTCCTTGTCACTTGAAAGTAACTGTGATGTATCTGATAGCACGGACCACTGTTTCCATGTTGGATGGAGTAAATGTTTGCCCTGGTGGCCAGTGCCGTTCGAGTGAGTTGCTTTGTCCAAGACGGTGTTGAACCTCTTGAGCTTTTGTTGGCTCAGAGAGTATTAGCGAAGATGCTGGGCAGAAAGTCCTGTTTCTTCTTTGAAATAATATGTTTTCTGTTCAACTGAGAGAGCAGGTGAAGTTTTGGTTTAGAACATTATCAGACAGTGCAGCACACCCTCAGTACTGCATTGAGTAGCTGCCTGGATTTTTAGCTCAACTTCCTCCAACTCAGAGTTTTGAGTGTTACCAGCTGAGTTACAGCTGATGCTTTGGAAATGATTGAACCTGGAATTTCAGTGCACAGGACAATAATTGATTCCTTTTTGTCTTCCCCACCCCATTCTATTCCAGATCTAAAGTCTGTTGCTGACTCAGCTGTTCACAGGTAAATAATCCTCTCGAATATTAGCTTTTAGTTCGTGCTTCATATCTTTATGTGCCTGCGCTGGTTTGAACCTTACATAATTGTCACAACTCAACAAGGGAGCACACTGGAATTGAAGCCCTGCTGTTCTCAGACTCTTCACAAAAGTTAGAGATTTTATAAAAGTTTGCAAACTTCCCCAGTTTATCGGTCATTTGGACCCAGGTTGATGGAAAGCATAGAGCAATTTTCTGTACTGAGCAAAAAGTTACTATTTATTACAAATAAATAGATGATGGCTATAGAAAAATGATTATAAACCACTGACATATAACTCTACTAGTTAAAACCCTGAGTCCCTTATACACTGCCCCTCTGCACACAGACAGACAGAACAACAAAACATGGGTGTTAAGGATAGAGTGAAAGACTGAGATGGCAGTACACTGCTGTCTACTCACAGGGTCTGCTGAACTGACCCTTGTGCTGATCGAAATGTTTTATCTCAGTCCTCCTCCAGATACTTTCCCTTGTTGTCAAGCAATTCGAATAACAATACTGAACAAATTCGCTTCTTCCGTAAAATAGCTGTGTCTTTTTTCTCAACACAGTGAATCCACAAATGTTAAATGTGAAGATGCACAGATCCCAAGAGAAACCATTTCCCTTCAGTCAAACCTGCGGCTGAATCCAGACTTAAATAACCTGAACCAACCTCCTGCAGGTAGGTTGCGGTCTTTATCTTAATCTCTGAATTGCTAGTTGATTTTTCTTTGTGTTTTAAAAGAATGAGGTAAAGTCAAGTCCACCCTTTGCAAATGCAGAAGAACTTAAAACACAAAATAGCAGAAGAGAAGTACAGCACAAGAACAGGCCCTTTGGCCCTCCAAGCCTGTGCCAATCATCACGCCCTGACTAAACTAAAAAAAAAAGCCTTCTGCCTTTATTCAGTTCGCATCCCTCTGTTCCTTCCCTATTCGTCTAACCATCCAGATGCCTCTTAAATTTTGCCAACGTGCCTGCTTCCACCATCTGTTCTGGCAGTGCGTTCCAGGCCCCCACCACTCTCTGCGTAAAACACTTCCCTTACATAACTCCCTTAAACTTTCACCCGCTCAGCTTGAACCTGTGCCTCCTTGTAATTGAAACTTCAATCCTGGGAAAAAACCTTTGGACTATCCACTCTATCTATACCTCATTATAATTTTGTAGACCTCTATCAGGTCTCCTCTCAGCCGCTGTCTTTCCAGTGAAAATAATCCTAGTCTGTTTAACCTTTCCTCATAGCCAATGGTCTTGAGACCAGTCAACATCCGGGTGAACCTTCTCTGCACTCTGTCTAAAACTTCCATGTCCTTCTGATATTGTGGTGACCAAAACTACACACAATACTCCAAATGCGGCCTAACAAGGGTTTTATACAGCTGCAACATGGTTCACCAACTCTTGTACTCCCTACCCGAGCCGATGAAGGCAAACATGACATATGCCTTCCTAATCACTTTGACCACCTGTGTTGCTACTTTTAGGGAACTGTGGACCTGCACGCCCAGACCTGTCTGTGTTTTAATGTTCCTAAGGGTTCTGCTATTTGCAGTATAATTCACACCTAAATTTGATCCTCCAAAATGCATCACCTCGCATTTGTCTGGGAACCTTCTTGCCCACTTCAGGACTACTTGCACCTGCCAATGGTTTTAAAGTAAACTTGCTCCGTACTGTTGGAAGTGTGCATTGTGTTTGCCTTTCTCAATGTATCTGCCACATCTGCCATTTGTGAAAATTGCCATTGATGAGTTTTGCAGGGAATGTATCCCCACAAACAATGGGCCCTTTCTGAAATGAGAGAACTGGTTGTTCAGCATCAGACAGAGGGCGTTCATTTTAAAAAGTTGCGTGTAGCTCGGTGGCTCAGTGGTTAGCAGTGCTGCCTCATAGCACCAGGGACCTGGGTTTGATTCTGTCCTTGGGCGACTGTCTGCGTGGAGTTTGCATATTCTCCCTGTGTCTGCATGGGTTTCCTTTGGGTGCTCCTGTTTCCTCTCACAATCCAAAGATGTGCAGATTAGGGTGGACTGGCCGTGCTAAATTGCCCCTAGTATCCAGGGATGTGCAGGCTAGGTGGATGAGCCATGGGGAATGCAAGGTTACAGGGAGAGGGTAGGTTGATGCGCCTGGGAGGGATGCTGTTTGGAGGGTCACCATGGACTTAATGGGCCAAACAGCCTGCTTCCACACTGTAGGGATTCTATGAGTTCATGCTTCAAGGAATTTCTTACAGAATGAACAAATAAATCAAATGAACAAGGAACAAGATTTGGCCACTCGGCCCCTTGAGCCTGCTCAGCTACGATGGCTGATCTGATTTTACCCTCAGCTCCACGTTCCTGCATTCTCCCAATTATCTTTCATCCCCTTGGCCATCAAGAATCTGTCTCCCTCTGCCTTAAAAACATTTAAAGGTTCTGCATCCTCTGCTTTTTGAAGGGAATTCCAAAGACACTCAACCCTCTGAGGGGAAAAACATTTCCTCATCTCTGTCTTAAATGGGCACTCCCTTATTTTTAAACTGAGTGTCCCGGTTCGAGAGGAAAGGGAATGAAGAGACTTACAAACAGGATTGTAGAGTTTGACGCTCAGGTACAACCACCACTGGCAGACTAATTGAAATCATGGATGCTCAGGAGGCCAGAATTAGATGAAGGTAGATATCTTTGAATTTAGAGAGAGCGAGATAGGGAGGGATTTGAAAATGATAATGATACTGAGAATTTTTCAATGGAGTTGACCTTGATTGAGGCCAGTAAACGTTATGGTGATGGGGTGAATGGACTTCGGTACTTGTTGGCACTAAAAGATTTTCACATGCTCGCGTTGTTTTCTTGCTGAAATTCTTTTTCTCTTAGAGTTTGGTTATTCTGGGGAGGTTACTAACGCCGCCAATTCCTTCTGCTGTAAACCAGAGCCGGGTCAAGTATCAAGACATCTGTCAGAAAGCCGAGCAGCTTGTGAAGATCTCTCGGATCAGGAGAATGTTACAGCTGCGGACTCTAGAGGTAAGGAGTTTATACAGCCTGACTCTCAATGCTGCACTGTGTTCCCCTGTAACCTGTACTTTCATGTGAATTGAGTCAATCTGATCTCTTCCCTACACTAGTTCATGACTGAGCTCTGCACTAAGCACTATACAGTTACTATGGTGACATGAATCTTCCTTTGGGGAACTGGGTAGTGCTGCCATTGACCTACAATGTTCATAAAAATATATCCCTGCAGACCCCATTCTATTACTGCAAATTTTTTATTAACTGGCAGCTAATGGGACCAGGAAAGTGCCAGTTGATCAAATATTCTGGATAATCAAGAGGTCAATGTGAAAAAAAAAACACTAAGTAATGGAAATGTAGTGCAGGAGGTTTACACATCACTTGTTATACTTTATTTACAGCTTAAATCAATTAAATAGTAATGCAACTTTGCCTTAAATAAAACTTATCAGCAGAGAACCTTCTCACTTGCTCCCTCAACTGACTGAGATCGCGATA